TTTGATGAGTTGAGTCATATTCAGCTGTAAAATCAGTGAAGTTTCCCCTTTAATTTCAAGTGTCCTTGTACCTGAAGTACAGAATAAGTTTGAGTTTGTGTCGTCTGGTCATGATAAAGATTGTAGGAAGATCCTTTTTAAAAGAAAAAAGAATTGACTGTTAAGAGGTGAGATACTTTGCTGTCAAAGTCAGAAACCACTACTCACCCAACCACACACCTTACGTGTCAAACAAACAAATTCTCTAATGAACTAAGCCTTTTCTCTTTCGTTTACAATGTCCGCTCTCTCACTTTGAAAATATATTCTATCTTACCTGTGTTGCAATGATGCTTTCCCCTATTTTTATTTCAATGAAGGAACAAATGCCTCCATGATTGTCAATACTGCCAAAATATTTCCTTATCTCTCTCATTCTTCTTATTGTCGTTGAATCATCTGCAGAAATATAGGAAAGACATTTCAGTTTAGGCAGCATTGCTGTAGCAGAATTGTTTTCTTCTTATTGCTCGTACTCCCTTGTTTTTCCCTCTGTAGCCTCATATTCCTCCCACTGTTTTTGCTTCATTGGTTTTGTTTCTTTTCCCTCTTCTCTACTTTCTTCTCTTCCCTTCCTCTCTTGCACGATCACCATCCATTTCTCCTCTGGGGGATCCCATAGAAATGTTTAATTGTTTTGAAATGTCTACAGTGAGCTTGACTGAATGACTCAGCAGCCATGTCAGCCGACATGAAAGTCTTAATCCATTGCAGCTTCAGTTTGTTTGCAGTCATTCAATGACTTCCTTCCTTTTGAAGAGAGCTGGGGGCTTTTGGAAGCTGATTTTCTCTCCTTCTTTGATAGCTTCACACTCTATGTAAGTCTGTTGAGGTGTCAGATTTAATGCGACCACAGCTACCTTGGTCCATTTTATGCTTATTACACATTTGCACTTTGCCATCAGTGTGTGTTTCTATACTTGTGTCTGTTACAATTTTTGCAGGAAGATGTTCAAAAAAGAAAAAGAAATGCATGCAACACATTGATTATTTTATATTTTGTTGCTGCAGTGTTGATTTACAAGTTTCTGTAACCCTCCTTTCTCAGTGTGTAGCGTGCTCCAGCTCCTCTGGACAGTGGGTAACAAACAGGCTTCAACTGCTCTTTATGGACAGCTCTTTATTCTTCTTTTCAACTCACTCTGGGTTAACAGTCACCTCACTTTTTTTCTCGCGTTGCACAGGGCTCTGTCACATCCATACCTTTCTGCCTCAAACAACGGCAGGTGGGAACTAATTACTCTGTGGCAAAGGTACATGCAGCTGCAACTTGGAACACATGAAAATCTACAAACGAAATATGTATTAAAGTGCTATGAATGATGATGACAGAATTATGTATTTAAAGTTTAAACTCTGCCAGTGCACAATAAAGCTGTGGTCACCCATCTCCCCTCTCCTCCCCATTTTTCTCTGCTCACCCCAACCAGTCGAGGCAGATGGACGCCCACATTGAATCTGGTTCAGCTATAGGTTTCTTCCAGTTAATGAAGTGCTGCTCATTTTCAAATGATTTTAAGGTCTTGAACTTCTACGTAAAGTGCCCTGAGATACTGTATATTAAGATACATATTATATATTATAATGTGTACTATAACTGCAATTACATTACTCTGCTGTTTGGTCTTCCCAGTGACACTGGTGTTTGAGGCTTGTTATGGTTTATAAGAATTGTGTTGTTAATGGATACTGTACATGCTAACATGTGTGTTTCTTGTTCTTTTTGTTTTCATTACAGAGCATGATAAGCATCGCCTATGCAAAAGTACTGAATATATGAATCTTCACTTCAAAGTCAAATGGTTCCATAATGAGTACGTCCGCGAACTACCGGCTTTCAAGGGTGTTTCTCCTGAGTATTCTCTGTAAGTGTCTTCTCATTTTCGCACATGTATTTTTAGTATGTACAAAAGATACACCGTTAAGGCAAATTAATGGGAATATAAATAAAACATGAACGGGCTGCTTGTAACACCCCAGTTAACTAAGGGCAACAGGAATCTAAGAGAAAAAGATCATCTTAATCAGATCTGAGAAATGTGATGCAGAGAAAAAGTTAAATAGCTTCAGCATGAAAATGTATTCCCCTTTGAATAAATCAACAGACAGATCTGATTGATAGATACATGTTTATTGGCCACTTATGCCACTAATTATTGCCCATCC